ACGAAAACGTGGACCTGCACAGACAATTTTCTGGCACAGGCTGTAGTATCCATTACGAACTTCAAATACCAAATTTGAAACAATTCCGGTAAAAAATTGCCGCTAAAATCATTAAATACCGAATATCGAGAGGTAACGTTATATGGGGGCTATACGAAGATGTAGACCTAAATGGCCCATTTTCTGTCTTAAGCCGTAGTATCCATTACGAACTTCAAATGCGAAATTTGAAACAATTCCGGTAAAAAATTGCCGCTAAAATCATCAAAATACCGAATATCAGGAGGTACCATTATATGGGGGCTATACGTGGACCTGAATAGGCCATTTTCTGTCTCAGGCTTTAATATCCATTACGAACTTCAAACACCAAAATTGAAACAATTCCGATGAATAATGTCACTAAAATCATCAAAATACCGAATATCGGGAGGTACCGTTATATGGGGGCTATACGAAGATGTGGACCTACATGGCCCATTTTCAATACCAAAAGTCCTGCAGACATAATTCACATTTGAGTAAAATTTTATCAACCTAAATATGCCGAAGCATTTGTATCTTTAAAACTCAGACTTGTATTGCCCATTTGGTGCAAAATTAATTTGAAATCAGATAAAGCTATACATGGGAGCTATATCCAAATCTGAACCGATCTCGATCAAATTTGGGAAAGACATTTCTGAGCTGCATTTGGTATATTTCCCTGAATATCGTTGTTACGAAGTGCATACTACGGCTGTGGGTAACAAAAATATGACAAATCGGATGAACAATATATATGGGAGCTATAGCTATATCTGAACCGATCTTCACCTAATTTGGCATACTAGCTGCTAGACTCAATTCGGTCGTATGTGCCAAATTCCATCCCATTTGGACAAATATTAGACGTTTGGTGTACAATAAAAAGTAAATCGGACGAAGTTATATATGGGAACAATATCCAAATCTGAACCCATCTCGATAAAATTTGGCAAAGGTATTTCTCAGCTGCATTTGATATATTTCCCCAAATATTGTTGTTACAGAGTGCATATTACGGCTGCGAAGGACAAAAATAACAAATCGGATGAACAATATATATATGAGAGCTATAGCTATATCTGAACCGATTTCGATCAAATTTGGCATACTTATTTCTAGGTCTAATTTGGTTGTATGTGCAAAATTCCATACTATTCGGGCTGATATTACACGTTTGGTGCACAATAAAACGCAAATCGGACGAAGTTGTATATGGGAGCTATATCTAAATTTTGACCGATTATCTCCAATTTCAATAGAGTTCGTCCTTGGGCCAAACGAATGTTGTTTGGAAAATTTCATCTCAATCGGATAATAAATGCGACCTGCATTCTGTTCACAAGAATACATGGACAGACGGACGGACGGACAGACGGACAGACGGACAGACGGATGGACATGCATAAATCGACTCAGAATGTGATTATAATTATTTACTCTGCAGAAAGAGAAAGGATAATCCGATTTTGCTCCAACTTTGCAAATCCTAATATTTGCATCAGTGCTAGGTCAGGTGCGAAGATAGATAAATCCGTCCACTCCATCAAATACCTCCATCAGAAAGGGTCTTAAATTTTAACTCTTATAAAATGTGATGTAAGAGTCCGATTATATTCAAAATACACACATCACAATATTGTTATAAAGGTCCCAAGGTCAGGTGCGAAGATGGAATATATTGGTCCACCCCTTCGGATACCTCCCGCCACAAAGAGTCAAAACTTTGAATATCAATGGAACTCATAAAACACGAAATTAATATCCGATTCCATTCAGATTTGGTTCATCTCAATATTTCCATCAACACAAGATCTGTTGTAAAAATAATAGAGATCGGACCATTCCTTCTGGAACCTCCCCCACAAAGGGTCAAAACTTTCAAATAACCAAAACGATCATAAAATCCGAAATAATCATCCGTTTCCCTTAATATTTCACACATGACATTATGTCTACTAACACAAGATATGCTGTGAGGATGACACATATCTGCGAACCCCTTCTGGTACCTCACCCAAAAAGAATCACAATTTTCCATATTTTTATCTGTCATGACTTGCGAAAAAAATTCAGAAATTCTCTACAACTAAATATTTCTCTCAACCAGAATCCTGAGATGATTATGAAATTTATGATTCCGCATAAAACTGGAATACTTTTGTCGACTTTGTCCGGTAAATCAAGCATATTTTAAAAATTATCACCAGGTCCGAACCTGGCACGTCTCAATTTCTATATCATATTTATTTAGGTCCTATACGAAATTGTCAATATTGGTCGATTCCTTCGGAACCTATTCCATTGAGGGTCAACATTTTCAACAATCATGACAGAAGTCAAAATATATTTTAATAATCGCACATTAGCTGAGGGTATACCCTCTGTCGACACAACCGACTTTTTAAATAGTTTTTATTGAACTCTAGCACTGATCAGCGAGAGAACGAGGGTTGCTCTCAAATTCGTTGAATGTTTGAAAACTTTTGCTTGCCGATCCTAGATTTTCTGCTGTTTTAAGTTAGATACACTAATCATGGGGTCATTTGATGGCTTTCTCCCCCTTATTCCCACTCTCTCACTCTCTCACTCTCTCTCTCTCTTTCTCTCTATCTCACAAATGTTCATGAGAAAATTAGAAGAGAGTAAATCCATGATCATTTTGCTGTCGATGATGAATACATGTATAAATTAAGTAATGAGCAGCGAGAGAGTGAGTTTAACTCTCAAATTCGTCGGATGTGTAAAAAACCATTGGTTACCGATCTCAGGTGTAGGGTTTAACCAGTTCGGCCTCAATTGATTTTTGCCCTTTTTCTACTGTTTTTAGTTAGACACGCTAATCATTGGACCATTTGGTAGCTATCTCTCTTTTTCCCTCATTTTTTCCTCTCTCCCTCTCTCTCTCACTCAGGAACCTCACAAATGTCCAGTATCCTAATAAAAAAAGGATTCTTTCGATATCCAAGTCCTTGAAAAAGCTTCGAAGTATTTTTATTTATTTATTTTTTTTTGAAAATAAATTTTTAGGCTTCGTGAAATTATTATTTTTTTTTTCAGAAATTAGAAGCTCGGTTACCTTTTTTTAGGCTTCGTGAAATTATTATTTTTTTAGAAATGAGAGGCTCGGTTACCTTTTTTTTAGGCTTCGTGAAATTATTACTTTTTCAGAAATGAGAGGCTCGGTTACCTTTTTTTAGGCTTCGTGAAATTATTATTTTTTTTCAGAAATGAGAGGCTCGGTTACCTTTTTTTAGGCTTCGTGAAATTATTATTTTTTTTCAGAAATGAGAGGCTCGGTTACCTTGTTTTAGGCTTCGTGAAATTATTTTTTTTGCAGAAATGAGAGGCTCGGTTACCTTTTTTTAGGCTTCGTGAAATTATTATTTTTTTTCAGAAATGAGAGGCTCGGTTACCTTTTTTTAGGTTTCGTGAAATTATTATTTTTTCAGAAATGAGAGGCTCGGTTACCTTTTTTAGGCTTCGTGAAATTATTTTTTTTTTTTTTCAGAAATGAGAGGCTCGGTTACCTTTTTTTAGCCTTCGTGAAATTATTATTTTTTTCAGAAATGAGAGGCTCGGTTACCTTTTTTTAGGTTTCGTGAAATGATGATTTTTTCAGAAATGAGAGGCTCGGTTACCTTTTTTTAGGCTTCGTGAAATGATGATTTTTTCAGAAATGAGAGGCTCGGTTACCTTTTTTTAGGCTTCGTGAAAGTATTATTTTTTTCAGAAATGAGAGGCTCGATTACCTTTTTTTAGGCTTCGTGAAATTATTATTTTTTTCTGAAATGAGAGGCTCGATTACCTTTTTTTGGGCTTCGTGAATTTATTATTTTTTTTTCAGAAATGAGAGGCTTGGTTACCTTTTTTTTAGGCTTCGTGAAATTATTATATTTTCAGAAATGAGAGGCTCGGTTACCTTTTTTAGGCTTCGTGAAATTATTATTTTTTTTTCAGAAATGAGAGGCTCGGTTACCTTTTTTAGGCTTCGTGAAATTATTATTTTTTTTCAGAAATGAGAGGCTCGATTACCTTTTCTTAGGCTTCGTGAAATTATTATTTTTTTTTTTTTCAGAAATGAGAGACTCGGTTACCTTTTTTTTAGGCTTCGTGAAATTATTATTTTTTTCAGAAATGAGAGGCTCGGTTACCTTTTTTTAGACTTCGTGAAATTATTATTTTTTTTCAGAAATGAGAGGCTCGGTTACCTTTTTTTAGGCTTCGTGAAATTATTACTTTTTTTCAGAAATGAGAGGCTCGATTACCTTTTTTTTTAGGCTTCGTGAAATTATTATTTTTTTCAGAAATGAGAAGCTCGGTTACCTTTTTTTAGGCTTCGTGAAATTATTATTTTTTCAAAAATGATAGGCTTGGTTACCTTTTTTAGGCTTCGTGAAATTATTATTTTTTTCAGAAATGAGAGGCTCGGTTACCTTTTTTAGGCTTCGTGAAATTATTATTTTTTTCAGAAATGAGAGGCTCGGTTACCTTTTTTTAGGCTTTGTGAAATTATTATTTTTTTCAGAAATGAGAGGCTCGGTTACCTTTTTTTTAGGCTTCGTGAAATTATTATTTTTTTCAGCAATGAGAGGCTTGGTTACCTTTTTTAGGCTTCGTGAAATTATTATTTTTTTCAAAAATGAGAGGCTCGGTTACCTTTTTTTAGGCTTCGTGAAATTATTATTTTTTTCAGAAATGAGAGGCTCGGTTACCTTCTTCTAGGCTTCGTGAAGTTATTATTTTTTTCAGAAATGAGAAGCCCGGTGGCATTTTTTAGGCTTCGTGAAATTATTATTTTTTTTTCAGAAATGAGATTCTCGGTTACCTTTTTTAGGCTTCGTGAAATTATTATTTTTTTTTTTCAGAAATGAGAGGCTCGGTTACCTTTTTTTAGGCTTCGTGAAATTATTATTTTTTTTTTTTTAGAAATGAGAGGCTCGGTTACCTTGACTTTTTTTTTGAAAATTTATTATTTAATTTTCAATTCTCTCCACCCTCAAATAAACACTGCCCTTCGGTACCAGAACCATGCTATGATTGGAAAATTCAATATCCCCACAATTTTCGGACGATTGGGAAAATTTAAATTTGGTCAAAAGGGCAATGAGGCCTAATTTTGTTATCATCCGACCAAATCGCAGGGCAATGCAATTTCTGGGGCCATCTCCAAAGCCCAAAAATGTCTGGGGATGGCGTTTGAATAATTCTCGGCGCAGGAAACGTTCTGGTCGAAATAGCTTTGGATTCGGATATATATCCGGATCGTAATGTATGGCATGGGCGGGTATAAAGACTTCGGTGTTCTTTTCAATTACGAATTTCGTTCCAGGGACTGGGTAGTCATTGAGAGAGACTCGCTGTAGAAATGGCAATGGGGGATACATGCGGAGGGTTTCTGTGGAAAAATTGGGGGAAGATTTTAGTTTTGGAATTTGGTATTGAAATTTAGGATAGGCTTACCTGTCAAAACACAATCCAGATACTCCATATCCATTAGGGCCTCATAGCTCAGCTCGTTATTGTGTTGCTGTAGAACTTCCCAAATATCCTGCCTTAATTTATTTTGTATATCCGGATATTTGGCCAATTCGTAGAGGGCATAACTCATCGATGTCGAAGAGGTCTCAAAACCCGCCGTGAAAAATATAAACAATTGAGCCGAAATTTTATCGTAGCTCAAATTTAAATCCCTAGATTTTTTCAGTTCAATTAGAATATCCACAAAGTCATTGCGTAAAATCTCCTGCCTTTTCCGGGCTTTAAACCCCTCACATACCGTAATTCTGAAGAAATCTTCCACGAATTGGGGAAATCTCTTAAAGCCAATAAATTTCATTAGCCCCACATAGGTTTGTTTGAAAAGATGCCAGCGAACATTGAAGTTAGTGCGGCTAAAAATTCTCGAACTTAGTTTGAGGAATTCGGCCTCGGGATTCCGCAAGCTATTGCATTCAATGCCAAAGAAACATGTGCCAATGGCATCCACGGTGAAGAGGCTATTGAAATGGTGAACATTGAGCAAATCCGATTTTTCCAAGCCCCTCTCCACGCTCAGCACGAAATCCTGGCACAGCTTTCGAACGGTGGGAAACATAAATTTTATTTTTCCCGATGTAAAGGTGGGTGAGAATTTGTGACGCAGTGGCCGCCATAATCCTGCCTCTACATTGAAGAGATGTTGCGAGAGAATATCCTTTTCATTTTTATATAACATGCGACTGGAAAAATTACTGAAATCCTTTATCAACACCGCCTTTACCAGATCCAAGTCCAAAATTACAGCCACAGGTTTGGTAAAGGCATAAACACCGACAAATTTCTCTCTACCCCGGAAGGTATCGTACACCTCCTGCATAAACTGTCTGTGGTTCAGGCTTTGCAATTTGGCTATGTGGCCTAAGAGGAAATTCGCTTTCAGCTGTTTCACACCCCTTAGGGTCCAATAACAGTATTTCCATCTCAGGCAACAGAGCAGCGAGAGTACGGAAAGTCCGAAAATAAAAAAAACAGAAATACATTTTCGATTCTGGATTGCTTGAAAATCTGATAACGCTTGCTTTGCTGTTCATCGTTTTATAAACTTTTTGCCTGGGGGGTTCAATTGGAGAAGACATTGAATATTTCATCACTGGGAGATAAGATAAGGTGGATCAATCAAAAAAGCGGACAGATGAATGGAACACATTCCCCAACGTGTTATCAAATTTCACTGATGTTATTAAATTTATTCTCAGATTTGTTCGAGTTAGGGGGGAGGGGACGATAAAAAAATATTCAAGGCTCCATAAACGTGGACTTTTTAAAGAATATTTTTTCAAGGACCAAATAAACCTGGATTTTTTAAAGAATATTTTTTCAAGGACCAAACGACCAATAAATGTGGATTTTTTAACGAATATTTTTTCAAGTACAAAACCACCAACAAAAGTGGATTTTTTAAAGAATTTTTTTCAAGGACCAAAAGACCAATAAACGTGGATTTTTTAAAGAATATTTTTTTAAGGACCAAAAGACCAATAAACGTGGATTTTTTAAAGAATATTTTTTCAAGGACCAAAAGACCAATAAACGTGGATTTTTTAAAGAATATTTTTTCAAGGACCAAATAAACGTGGATTTTTTAAAGAATATTTTTTCAAGGACCAAATAAACGTGGATTTTTTAAAGAATATTTTTTCAAGGACCAAATAAACGTGGATTTTTTAAAGAATATTTTTTCAAGGACCAAATAAACGTGGATTATTTAAAGAATATTTTTTCAAGGAACAAATAAACGTGGATTATTTAAAGAATATTTTTTCAAGGACCAAATAAACGTGGATTATTTAAAGAATATTTTTTCAAGGACCAAATAAACGTGGATTATTTAAAGAATATTTTTTCAAGGACCAAATAAACGTGGATTTTTTAAAGAATATTTTTTTTTCAAGGACTAACAGAGGCGTGGATTTTTTAAAGAATATTTTTTCAAGGACCAAATAAACGTGGATTTTTTAAAGAATATTTTTTCAAGGACCAAATAAACGTGGATTTTTTAAAGAATATTTTTTCAAGGACCAAATAAACGTGGATTTTATTAAACAATATTTTTTCAAGGACCAAATAAACGTGGATTTTTTAAATAACATTTTTTCAAGGACCAAATAAACGTGGATTTTTTAAAGAATATTTTTCAAGGAACAAATAAACGTGGATTTTTTAAAAATATATTTTCAAAGACCATCAGAACCATAAACGTGGATTTATGAAAGAAATATAGGACCAACAGAACCATAAACGTGGATTTATGAAAGAAATATAGGACCAACAGAACCATAAACGTGGATTTATGAAAGAAATATAGGACCAACAGAACCATAAACGTGGATTTATGAAAGAAATATAGGACCAACAGAACCATAAACGTGGATTTATGAAAGAAATATAGGACCAACAGAACCATAAACGTGGATTTTTGTTTTTAACTACCAGTATCTTTTAAAGGACAACGAACCAGAATTGTTTTAAATAATATTTTTTCAAGAATTTATAAACGCATTTTTTTAAATAATATTTTTTTTAATGAGCAATAAACGTGGATTTTATTTTTTCAAAAATTGTTAAACGTTAGTTGTTGTTAATAATATTTTTTCAAGAAGTTATAAACGTTATTTTTATACCCTCCACCATGGGTAGAAGGGTATATTAACTTTGTCATTCCGTTTGTAACACCTCTAAATATTCGTCGTAGACCCCATAAAGAATATATATTCATAATCAGCATAAAATTCTAAGACGATTTAGCGATGTCCGTCTGTCTGTCTGTCTGTTGAAATCACGATAGAGCCCACATTATTTGACGTAGACCTTTGAAATTTGGCACAAGTGTGTGTATTGTCCCTAGGATGGTTGGTATTGAAAATGAGATATATCGGTCCACGTCTGGTATAGTCCCCATATAACGGTACCTCCCGATATTCGGTATTTTGATGATTTATGCCACCTTTTTTCACGGATTTGTCTGAAAATTGGTATTTGTAGGTCACAACGGGTCCCTGAGCGTGTGGCAAAACATTGCATGTATAGGTCCACGTTCTGGTATAGTCCCCATATAACGGTACCTCCCGATATTCGGTATTTTGATGATTTATGCCACATTTTTTCACTGATTTGTGTAAAAGTTGGTATTTGTGGGTCATAATGGGTCCTAGTTCGTGTGGCGAAACATTGTAATTATAGGTGCACGTGTTGGTGTAGCCCCTATATAACGGTACCTCCCGATATTCGGCATTTTAATGTTTTTTGCCACATTTCTTCTAATGTTCTTTTACCCTAGGGTGGAGGGTATTAAAAGTTTGGCCCGGCCGAACTTAATGTTTTTTTACTTGTTTTAAATAAAACTTTTAAATACATTTTTTAAACGTGGTTTTTTTAATTTTCAAGAATTAATAAACGTAATTTTTTTAATAACATTTTTTTTAAAAATTAATAAACGTCTTTTTTAAATAATATTTTTTAAGGACCAATGAACGTGGGTTCTTTTAAAAATATGTTTTTCAAATGGTTATAAATATGATTTTTTTAAATGCTTTTTTAAGAACTGATAAACGTGAATTCGTTTAAAAATATATTTTTCAAGAATTAGTGAATGTAGATTTTTTAAAGAGTATTTTTTAATAAACTAAATTTATTTTTTTAATAAAATATTTTTTATAAGAATACATAATCGTGATTTTTCTTTTAAATGTATTTATTTTTCAAAATACTTTCAAGAATATTTTTTCGAAGACCAAAAAATATGTTTTTAGGTATTAATTAAAAAAAATATTTTTTTAGGTATTTATAAATAAAAAATATATTTTTTGTTTTGTTTTAATTAACGTGAACGAACTTATAAACTTTTTTTTAAAAATCTAATAAATATGTATTTTTTTAAAAATATTTTTTAAAAATTAATATTTGTGTGTTTTTCAAAAAATATTTGTTTTTCGATAGTTAATAAACGTGGATTTTTTTTAAATATATTTTTTCAAGATTTAATAATCGTGGATTAAATATAAAAGTATTGTTTTTTTCAAGAATCAATTAACATGATTTTTTTTTCAAATATTTGTTTCATGGGGATTTTTTAATAAAACTTGCCTCAAGGCCGCCACAGAGTTGTTTTTCAATTTTTATTTACCATCTTTTAAATTCCCAATTCGTTCCTCACACACCTGAACTTATTTTTGATTGGCTGAAAATTAGATTTTATTCTCATATTCTATTACAATTTCCGATGCAAACTTTACATTTCAATTACCTTACCTATTGACCAATATGTAATTATTTCCAAAAAAAAATCAAATAAATAAATAAAAAATAAAAAAAAAAATTAAATAAATAAAAAAATAAAAATAAATAAATAAATTCTTAGTAAAATTCGGATCATCTTATTAATTAAGTCTTTTAAGTGTGACAGGTGTGAGAAGTTATTAAAAAATACCACATGCCCACACGCTATATTTGTTTGTCTATCAAAAACAATTAAAATTGTATCCGAAATTTTAAATACATAATAATACGTTAATTATTACGACTTTTTTTCGCCTGCAAAGGCAGGCAGTTATATCTTCGTTTTAAGAAAAAAAAGCAACAATTCGGGCAAAATATTGGAAATACAATTTTTTAAATAGTAAAAAAATAAAAATAAATACATAAAAATAGAACAGTGTTGGCATGTAAATGTTAATAAATAGAAAAACAATTAAAATTAAAAAATTGAACAACATTTTTTTCTTGCTTGTCTTGAAAAATATTTTTTTTTAAATCCATGTTCTGTGGCCACATCTTTTTAAAAAAATCTAGGTTTCTGGTGTATATTTTTAAAACCCACATCCCTAGATATATCTCAAATATTTAAGAAAAATACACACTCACTGATAAATTAAGACGAGTAAGCAAAGTCTATATACTTGCGGGGCCTACCATTCGATACCCTACAGCACTATAATATATTGAAAAATCCACTCAGGTCCCAACTCACTGTGGTCGATTTCGTTTTCGAAATAATGCCATAATGCCATTCTGCAAAAATATTTGACTGGTTGTGGTCTCCTTTACCAGCAAAATATTATCCGATGGCCATACGAAATGCTAGGCGTCTATTTTGCCATAAATTCTTACCTCATGCGAAATTCCGTATCGATTGGTTTTTGATTGTGACCTGTTTAGCGACTGCAAAATCAGAAAAAATTTCAATTTTTGCTCCATTTCGAAACCTAAATAGTTTGTGAAAACCTTAAAAAATAATATTCTAGGCCTAACCCAACCTCCCTGCATTCTCTGAGTATCAGACGATAATAAAAGTGTATTAGGGTATAAAAATATTATAAATCTACTTATCAATATTGAAAGTCAAATCGAAGAAAAAATCATGCCATGAATAAGTTTTGGCCAATTTAACCCTCTAAACATTATCCGATGACCATAGAAATTGACAGGCTATTGACTTATCTTACTGAAATTCTACCTTGATTTGTCTATAATTGTGACTTGAAGAACAGCTGCAAAATTTGAATTAAAATGAAATTTCAGATTTTTTTTATTTTTGGTCAATTCAATATTTTGCAATGATCTCCAAAAACAATAGGCTTCTGGTTTAAACCCAACCTTAACTCCATGAAAAAATTTCGTGCGGATCGGGTCATAAATGCGGCCTGTAGCCTGATTACAGGTTAACATAGACAAACGTGGCTCTAGGACATATATTTTACAGTGTTAATTTTTTTTGTTCCAATCAAACTTATAAATCTCCAACATAGTGTTGTGGCGGAAAAAATATATTTTTTTTAATTTTTTAATATTTTTTTAATTTTTTTTTATTTTAAAAAAATCCACGAGCCCGTACAAATCAATTTGATATCTAAAATTTTTTCTAAGATTTTTTTTAAAGACCGTAAATAAATAATAAACATTTATTAATTAAGTTATCAAGGAC